AATATAATTATGAAACTTCAGTTCAGTGCAGTTCAGAGACGTGTAGAAAGTATTTTAAACGTTCAATAAACCATAGATAAGCTTTGGAAACAAAATTAATGGTAAGGAAATTTCAGGGCACTTCAGAAACTGTCAGAACTGCGAAAACTCTCTGATGCTTTCAATCCACATCAGCAACAAAATAGTTGGGCAAAGAAGAATTGCATTATAACACACCATCGACTGGAAATGCTTTCGGCAACGTGGGGCTTTAGGTAGTGATGAAACGTCGCAGACAGTAATGAGCAAAGGCAGACGCACACTTTTTGCCTGTAGATTTGAAGACATACTTCAAATCTCCGCGTACATTGTAAGGGTTAGGCAAAAGGTGTGCGTTTGACTTTGTACTGTCGCATTAATGGCCCTTCGCTCATTTTTAACTTCTATTCAATTTTCATACTGCTGTACTCTAACGGAACTATCTACCTACTACCCTCTTCTAAAGACCATTCTCTAGCTAATAAATTATCACACTAAAGCTTCATGTTAGATAGCATTTCCAACCAACTCTTTGATGCTATTTAAAACTGTTCAAAGTTTGTAAAATCTCTCAAAAGCTCGTTTAAGATCTTTAAAATTTACAGAGTCTCAGTCGAAGTTTTCTGAAAAGATTTTTCGTTACGGCTACTCCCTTCTGTCAGAAGTTCAGGATTTTAGAGATATTCCTAGAATTTCATAGAAGCCGAAATCGGAATCGTGAAATCGGAGTCGGACGCATTTTCTAGCATTAAGAGTCGGAGTCCGAACTTTAAAAAAAGTACCAACTCCGACTTTAATGAAACAGAATTATAAACTAGATCGTCCCAAAAGTTGATCAATGAGCAACTTTTTGGCTCATGATTTTGATTTTGATTTGATTTAATGTTAATGCCTATAACAGGGCTGGTAGTGGGTATGTGATGTAAAAGTAGTGACTTTAGTGACTAAAATTACGAAAATAGTGACCAAATAGTGACTTTTAAACAGAAATAAAGTGACCAATAGTGACTTTTATTGATCGGAAAGATAGGGTTCCAATCATCCGATATTACGGTATTTTTCGTACTTTTTTTTTTAAATAAAACAAATGATTTAAGGATCACATAAATTTGTTATCGAAACATAAATATGAATTGAATAAGCAAGAGCACGTTCCAATTCTAACCTCCTTTTCTTAACTCTGCAGATCACGAATTTGTTATTAATAGATCGTGAAATAGAGGCACAGAGAAAAATATTCAAAGTGCCGATTTTAGAAAGCAATTTTTTGAAGCGATGCATTTAGTAACATGAAGAACTGCCGTCTAGAATTAAATGTACTTAGATCTAAGTTAGCCATGAGTATATTAATGAAAGATCCTTCTCTTCTTTGTAATCGCTATAACGAACTGGTCGTCTTTTTACTTTGCTCCATTCCTCCCAAGAATAGAATCTTCTGTAACACGTAGAAAAGAATCATAACTCTGGGACAACTTTTCTAGATCGCAGTTAAAAAAAAATCATTATTATGGCATGAGGAAAATTTTCCCAGATGGAATGATCACGGACATAAGAACACAATTGAATGCGTCTAGGACTTAAAATCCCGATCGTGAAAAATTAGAGATTTAGGAATACAATTTAGATTTTTTTTTTAATTCTAAGACCTGGACCTGGAATTCTTGTTTTTGTATTACCGAAATATTAGTATGGAAAAAATACAATACCATTTAATGGACTTAAAAAGGAACTCAAAGATCTGTGACATGATTTTTTTTCTCGATGTTTGGACGGATATTAAAGCTATCGAGGGTCAAAGATCATTCAATTTTCTGGCCTTTGAACAAATGTTGAGAGCTTGAAAATTTTCCTAGATCATTTTTAGACATTATACATTGAACCAACAAGAAAGGTAATTTTTACTAGAAAATTCTGGTAACCTCTTCAAAATAGGACTTCAATGACATGATAATGAATTCCACTGGATTCACTGGTCCAGTCCACATGTCATGCTGGTGAAGGTTAAGTGAAATTCACTGAAGTTTTTCGTGATTTCATGGTATGAACATTTTCTCGTCGTATTCGTAATTCAAAAATGACGATGGAAGAAAGTGCGCATTCGTCGTTGTTGAACGAGTTGGAATTCCCATGCTTCACACGTGCTTGCGTATGTTTTATAATTTTTAAAAATTAACACTCATTTATAAATAAAAAATAAAATTGCAGAATATGAGTAAATTTAAATTTTCTAGAATGCAATCATTTAATGACTCAAATAAATCGAAATATATATTTACAGTCTATCACCAATTCACTTTATCATTACTACAAAATCCAGTAACATCTACTTGCTGATTCCCGTAACTTTTAAGTGATGCCAATTTGAAGATTATCGGAGAGTCCGATCAAATTTTCGTGAAAATCAATTGATTTCTATGTGAATCACTCAAATGTAATCTCTCCCCCAAAACACGAAATATTCACCTGAAAAGATGTACGTGCCTATTCAGGAGAATTTTAGGTAACTTTTTGTTGCAGTGTAGGCTTGGATGACTTTCAAGATCTCAATGTAAAACAACCAGAATATTGGGTCTAGAGCTTTTTAAGAAATCTCTGAAAATTTATGATAGGTCTATGACAATTTCAACATAAAAATACATAAAATATTAGATTTCGGGAACAGTAAACGTTTCCATATGTTCGCAACTCGTCTTGTCAGACTTTACTCTGAGCTTTTAAAGTCAAATCATTGGTCGTAAAAAACTAAATTTTAAGGAATAGTGACTTTAGTGACTTTTTGATGACAAAAGTGACTTTTTAGTGACCGACTTGAAAATAGTGACCTGCTACCAGCCCTGCTATAATGAAAAACCCAGATTTTTTGTTGATTTCGATATAACAAACCTCCTCATATTACAGACTAAAACTTTTAATTGTGTTTTTAGTATTCTCGTCAATCTAGGTAGCGTTCGCGCTTCTATTAGCATTTCCTTAGCATCACGCACACATATAACGTGTTTCTTTGTTTACAACGCTCCAAACTTTTCAGGTGAGTGTGGCTGACTATTGTCGGCAACCAAGCAATTAAAAATTTTATGAAAGTTTCAAAATTTTGGAAAAAGACTTTGATAAACCATTTAAAGTACCAAAATTGCTTTTGCAAATGTTATTAAATTTGTTAGAAATTTTGTATGTATTTCATTATAAGCTCTTGAATTTTGTTCAAAACTGTGACGAATTTCAATTTATAAATCCATTTTCTTTGCAAAAGTTTGTATGCAGTTGCACTAGAAGTGGTGGATGATTAAGTTAAAGATTCAAAAACCATACAGAACATACTTTGTAAATTTAAATGTGGCACATTGATGAATTTTCTGGCCTTAGTTGAAAATACAGTCCAAACAGTAAGTATTTACTAATACATTCATTTACATTGAATTTTACATGCATGTGTGTGTTTTACATTGAAGTCTAAAGTTCAATTGAAATCGATTTAATGTCGATATAAATTTACATGCACGTGTTAATTTCAGCTTTAATTAATTGAATTTCAGATCGTTAAACGTATAATTTATGTTCAAAAACCTGCTCCAGTTGGTAGTTGAAAATAGCAAAATATTTATATTTGGGCACTTTAGTTTAAAGTTATTCATATAGTTTGAAGTTGTGGTATTTTTCTTTGAAGTTGTGTCATTTTTTTTTTAAATTATCAATGTTATTAGAGGCTGTTTATAAATTATGTTGACCTTTTTTGAGAGGATTCAGATCCTCCCCCAACCCCCTCTCTAGTAGCACCCTTGTTATAAATATGTCTTGGAAACTTGTATACGACTTATTTCAGTAATAAACAAGTTGCTGCAACTTATTGAGACAGAATTGTGCTACTTGGACTACGTAGACAATCGTCCATACATTTTTTTTATTTGTTCGGACTGTAGATACTTGCCAATCCTCTTCTCGGCCGCCACTGCTTCAAGCACCTCAATCGTTTACTCTATTTCCTTATTGCTGCTGTCCAACGATGCATCTTCTGTCACTACACCAGCGTACGTACTGCTATCGCTCTGTTCTTTGATCCGTAGTTGCTTTTCTTCTTCTCGTTGTTGCTTTTCTGGATACTTCCAGACCTTTTGCTTGGGGTAGGAATTCATCAGGGACACCTTCATCATGTATAAGAAGCACATGTTTTGATCCCTTCATAAAATATATTCCTCTTTCGATTGAGTACATGCTGCGTCCTTTTATACACCTTGAACTCCTGTGTACATGTTGAAACCTCCGGTAAAAAATCGTACACACGCAAATATTGCACGAAATCCCCTGCATAGAACATGCATACCTCCACTGCCTTTCCACTCACATGGACAATAAAATCTTCCGAGTTAAACGTCAATGCTTACAATATCAACTCTTCATACTTGAACTTTATAAAAAATGCTTTCTCCTCAGCAGTCTGGTAAGTTGTTTCTATCTGAGTGGAATTCACATCCAGGCTTTCACGAAATTAAAAATTTCAGCCATGCTGACTTTCGCACTTCCAATTGGAAAGCTGATTATGATCGTATTGTTAGCTTCACAAACGCCAGGCGGCGACGACGATAAAAGCGACCGATATGCTGGCATTGAACAAAGCGCACCTAAAAAATGGCTTGTATCGAGTCGATAGCGTGGTCGAACTTTGAGAGTGAACTGAGCGTTTGTCAAATGAAGATGATCCATGTTTTCATCAATGCACGGAACAGATCGAAATCATCCATTCCAATTAGATCATTTTGACAGTGAATCGTTACTGTTCTCAGTGTCGTCTAATATTTTCAATAGAATTTGAGAATTAGCAGCATTGCTTGCGACAATAATTTTCATTGAAATACTGGCAAATCTTCCTCTAGTGCCAACTTAGTAATAACTCCAGAAAAAAACAAACATTTAGTTTTTATACATTCATACACAAATTATACCAAACTTTAAAACGGACCATTTCATTTCTTTACGCTGTTTCCAAGGTGGCCATTATCTGCAACATGTTACAACGATATTCAACAATCGCCTGGCATCGGCCAGCAGCGGCGGCGGCGGCGGCGAATATGACAATTATCGCTACTCGCCAGTGAGCCGGGCTCACGGCGGCCAAAGTGATCGGGGTTCGCCAGCAGCCATGCATCAGTCATTCAGCCGGAGAGCTGCTGATGGGTGCACGGAAAATTCTAGACCAGGTGATCTGGCCGGCAACATGATACGAGGTGAATATCGTTGTAACATTATCTTCTTTTTCTTATTTTTTTTTATTCTGGTTTATGGATACGTGGATGCGTCCCTGCAGGGCTTGCATACGCTCAAATCTTGGTGCATGATTACCCAAAAATGGCAGTGTACACTTTTGGAACATTCATCTCTATTCAATAGAGGATAATGGGTCGAATTTCGGTTAGATGAAATCGCTCCATTGAAGTTTGAATCCGTTTCCTGTATGATATAACGTTTCGTGATTTGAAAGAACTTTTCGGTGGTAATGCGTTTAGAAGGATTTTCGAAAATAAATGCACCACCACATTTGAATCCAGCTGGAACTTTGAATCTGCTGGAGAACGTCTTTTAGCTGTGGAGATCAAAGGATACTAGTTTATATGAGATTTATCCAAACCAATAGATTACTGTTGTGCAGTTATTAAGAAAAGAAAAACGCTCAAACTTTCTCATGTAACTGTTGACGACATCCTAAAATGATATTAATGATTGAATGCATGGGCAAATTATGCAAAGATTGATGAAATGGAATGATATAACCGAATTATGTAAAGAAATGATTGATTTAAGGCATGTTATTTGACATCTAGAAGCAGAAATATTTCTTTTAAGTCGGATATATCAAGTTACTTGATTCCAGTGCAGTCAGTCATGTCGAAAAGAAACGGAATTGAAACAGACTTTGAAATTCCAGAGTTGGGAGGAAATACTCAACATGAAGCTTTAGTGCGATAATTTATTAGCTAGATAAAGTTCAGAAGAGGATAGATCGATAGTTTCGCGAGAGTACGGCAGTGTGAAAATTGAACAGAAGTTGAAATTGAACGAAAGGCCATTAAGGTGAAAGTTAATGCTTTTCCGTTGATACTGAATCCACACCCGTTCAAAGTACATCCAAATTCGGAATGCACCAATACCAACAAGCATTGCACATTAGAAAAATGGGAAGTATTGAAATTTTGAACATATTCGTAAACACAATATTATTGTATAATTATAATAATTCTACTACTGAAATGACAATTTCAATTCCAAGATTCCAAGTTCAGGATAGACCTACTAATGCTCAGGGAAGTCTTGCCGTAGTTCAGGGAAGGCCAGCCGAACTTCAGCGAAGTCCTGATGAAGTTCAGGGAAGTCCTTCCGAAGTTCAGGGAAGCCTTTCCGAAGTTCAGGGAAGTCTTGCTGAAGTTCAGGGAAGTTCTGCGGAAATTCAGAGAAGTTCTGTTGAAGTTCAGGGAAGTTCTGCCGATGTTCAGGGAAGTTTTTCCGAACTATAGGGAAGTCCTACCAATGTTCAGAGAACTCCTGCCTAAGTTCAGAGAAGTTCTACCGAAGTTCAGGGAAGTTCTGCCCAAGTTCAGGGAAGTTCTGCCGAAGTTCAGGGAAGTCCTTTCATTTCAATTATCGGAAATCAGGGAAGTCCTGATGAAGTTCAGGGAACTCATGCCGAAGTTCATGGAAAGCCTGCCGAACCTCAGGGAAGTCTTGCCGTAGTTCAGGGAAGGCCTGTCGAAGTACAGGGAACTCCTACCGAAGTTCAGAGAAGTTCTGCCGAAGTTCAGGGAAGTTCTGCCAAAGTTCAGGGAAGTTATGCTGAAGTTCGTGGAATTATCTAATTATCTTTAAAAATACCAAGACATATCAGAATACCTTCATCAAAAAGCCTGAATTTTTTTCAAAATATACTCAAATACATGTGATACAACTTGATGAATTTGAAGATCAAATTGGTTTAAAAAATATTTTATTGATCAATGGCAAGGATGGATGATTTCTACAATATTTGAAGATATAGTTCAATTTATCTAATTATCTTTAAAAATACCAAGATATAACAGAATACCTTCATCAAATAGGCTGAAATTTTCGCAGAATATCCTCAAATACTTGTGAAACAACATGTGAAAATTGAGGAACCTTTTGATTTGAAAAATATTTCATTTAGCAATGGCAAAGGTGGGTGATTTCTAAAATAGTTCCATTTATCTTTAAAAATATCCAGATATATACGAAAAAATTCAATGAAAAAGGCTGAAACATTCATAGAGTATCCACAGACAAACAGACGTAACACTTCATTGTGTACCTTCGTTCACGCATTTAACGGTTGATTTGAATATTATCAGTTCTGCGAACTAATCGCCGCAGCGCTGGCATCGGAACACTTTGACGTTTCCATACATTCTATAGAACTTTTATGCAATATTGTTTGCGAGTTGGCGAGCAAGCTTGTTTTCCGCGAGAAGCCCGAGAGATGTCGTTACTGAGGTCCTATGTTTTGAGATACTATGTTTTCAAGTAAAACTTTTTCAAAGAGTTACGTCTGTTTGTCTGTTGAGTATCCTTCAATTAGCTTGCACATACACACACTTTAATTGTTTTTATTATTTCACAAATGCACGCGTTTCCAACACGACTTATAAATACTCTCAATTTAGAAATATTTTTACTATTTATTTTCAAGCCCTTTCATAATGGAGTTCTTGCGATAACGCATAGATGACATTCCCGAATAGCATCCGTTTTCAACTATCGATAATTTTCGCAAAATATTTCGAATTGAAATACCAAAAGATAATTCAGGCATAACATTTGATTACGGCACAAAAGCAGTTGTAAACAAACTTTCTAAGGTCCTTTACACGCGAACCAAAGTACGCCCACGCAAACCAATACTACATTCGGAAAGGTGATAGTTGCCCCTATCCGAATGTAGTATTGGTTTGCGTAGGCATACTTTGGTTCGCGTGTAAAGGGCCTTAGAAAGTTTGTTTACAAATGCTTTCGTGCCGTTATCAAATGTTATGTCTGATATCTTACAATATGCATCAATTATTGCGAATGAAAAATGTCACGCGCGAACTTGATTCTGCTGACGGTGCTGATGGTTTTTCTTGCTAATTCATTCATGGATCGGCCCGGCGTGTGGCTTTTTTTTCGCTTCTCTATTCTGTGCTAAGGTTCCAAATCACATTGTTCTTCAACCTGGAGCATGCTTACGCACAGATTCATGCAAAAGCAAGTTGATTGCTTAGGAAAACAAAATCTAATGCTTGGAATTGCGCTACAAAAAAAAAATGGTTTGCATTGAAATAATGCATTTTACAGGTATGTTGTCTTGGGAGGAAGTGTTCTTAACAATATTTTGAAACGATCTACGGGAGGAAGTATGACCTTTCATACGAAATACTTGTATAATTGATGAGAGTTAGCGACCACTATGATTGTGGTCCAAAAATTGAACTTAGAAAACGGTTTACAGAAAATTTAATCAATAAATCAATCTTGTAAAAATTGCTAGAGATAGCAATTTTAGTTCTTTAATTTTGCACGGAAGGGCGTTGAGCGAATGAGCGCTGCGTTATTTTGTTAAAAATCGATGAAGTGAGTCATTCTAAACCGATCCACTTCCACCTTAATGCGACAATTGCGAGCGACTTTTATCCTTTTTAAATATGCCAATTTATTCATCTTTAAAAATGTCTTATGCTTGACACTCTTTCGCTAATATTTCCATTTCCTCACCGTTTTTGGCTACCTAAGAATCGAGAAACAGCTAATCCGGTAATTCCTAGGCATCGAGAAATACCTTTATGTTTTATGTGACCATAAAGGTCCATCAGAATGTTAATTTTTTAACATTCTGACGTTGTTTTAACCTTCCTTTAGAAGTTTCTTCCTAAATTCCCTCGATATTTCTTCCACCTTACCCCGTGAGTTATTTACCAATTCGTATCGGAAAGTTATTTCGACGTCCCTTTGAAGTTTCTTCTGGCTTCGCTCGAAAGGTTCTGTCGTCTCTCCCCCCAGTTTTTTTCCTACTATCCTGGAATATTGTGCTAACTTTCCCTAAAAGCTGCTACCGAAAGTTTCTTTCGACATTCCTCGAAAACCCTCAGGCTTCCGCCGGAAGAAGCTTTCGGTTTTCTCCAGAAGTTTCATCCAAACTACCTCAGGAAGTTTCTTCCAGCGCCTCCAGAAAGTTTCATTCGTCTTCTACAGGAAGTTCCTTTAAACTTCCGAAACTTACCGAAAGTATCTATCAAATTCTCCCAGTAGTTGCTTTCGTGTTTCTCTCAGTTTCTTCATGGGCTTCTTCCGGAGGTTTTTACCGAATTCTATTGAAATGTTTTTCCGAGGCCAGCAAACCGGAAAACAGGGAACACTGGGAAATATCCGGGAATTTAAAAAGTAACCGGGAAAAACCCAGAAATTCGACGAGAGGACCGGGAAAAACAAATTAACCATACCATAGGAACAAATGTTTACACCAGAATTTCAGAATAAACCATTGAGACAGAGTGAATTGCCAAATGAATGTCTTGCTCTATTTGCTGCATAATTTTCATCAGTTTCCCATCTTATGGTTTTTAGAATTGAATCACTCAGCAATATTTCAAATTGATTTTGTCGTTTCAATTTCAGATGTAAAGTGCATGGGCCTTTAAAGAAAATATTTTAAGATGCTGGACTTTGGAAACAAATATTTGTAAAAACAGAAACTGAACTATTATTTTCCAGGGTTTTGATTTTCCGTTGTTCAAAATTCTCATGATGTGAATTTCAGTATTAAGTTGGAATTTTTCTGAAATTTAATTAATAATGACTGTTAATTCTTCTTGAAATTTATTTGAAACCCCTTCTAAAAATTTGATTTGAATCCTTCTTTGAATTCCTTTGAATCTAATTTCGGAGACTTTGATTCCTTTTAAATTCTTTAAAAAATCTTTTAACTCTATTCAAAACAGCAGAAATCTTTCGAAATTTTATTTTAAAACCCCTTGGAATATTTTTAAGAATTTATTTCTAATTATCAACATTTTTTTTTTGCAATCAATGTTGCTGGAGCTCTGTGATGAATCTTTCGCACTAGAGTTGAAATTATTGCCAGAAACTCTTAGAACTCTGTTTCTTGTTGAACTCTTATCATAATTCTCTTGGAGTTCTTCTAAAAATTCATCTGTCATTTTCCTCACGATCTCCATACAAATCT